TAATATTGGAAAAAGTTCTCAGCTCAAAGAACATAGGGTTAATTCTCATTGTCATGGCATGTGTAGACAAATGCAGGAATTTGGGCTTGTCCTCAGCATGACATATAGAAGCTATCCATCATCATTGAGTTAATATATATATAAGGATGGGGTTATGAAAAAAGTCTCTTCTAGTGTAATTCATTGACTTCTTAATATAGTTTCAAAAAGGAAATGAGAGTTGTATGATTGGACTTTATATTGTATAGAAAGATTTATGGCCTCTGTACTGTACTGAGGGTTAGGAAATTGCTCTTGTCTCTTATGGAAAATTTCCAGCCAAAATTACCTTCAAGTAAACAAATTTGATTTGTGTGCATTTATTTTATTTTCAGGTGTATATCAATTCAGTAGAATAGCATATCACTGTGTCCGCAGTCCAGCGTACAAGTTTCGACCATTTTCTACAAATCTTGTGAACTATTTTCACATCACCAGGATGGCACTTGAGGCTACAACAAATTCTCAAAGTAAGTGGACACAATTACTGAATCATTATTTTAATTTACTCTAAGACTAAGTCATCCTCTGGCTCTCAAAAGTATCTTTAAATATATCCATTAGCCATCATAAATTACATGTTTGCTCTCCTGAATCCCATCATAGTTGGACTTCCTTATTCATTTCTTATTGTCTTGCTCTCCATAAGCCGATCATAGTCCGACTTCCTTATTTCTTTTTTATTATTGTTGTCTTACAGATATGGGTCTGAAGCGGCCGGCGGAGTCAGAAATGACAGAAAGCGAGGTCAAAAAGATACACCTGAACCCTGTGCCAAATACTGAATTGGAAACTGGAGGAGACACAGTTAGAAGAAAACGAAGAAAGTATGCCATACTCTTATCATATTCAGGAAAAGGCTATTTAGGAATGCAAAGGTAAGTCTCTACATATTTTGTTTTGTTTTTCTGTGTGAATGAGAGTGTGTGAGTGAGTGATTGAGAGTGTTTGAGTAAGTGATTGAGAGTATGTGAGTGAGGAATTGAGAGTGTGTGAGTGAGGAATTGAGAGTGTGTGAGTGAGGAATTGAGAGTGTGTGAGTGAGAAATTGAAAGTGTGTGAGTGAGGAATTGAGAGTGTGTGAGAAATTGAGAGTGTGTAAGTGAGTGAGAATGTGTGAGTGATTGAGAGTGTGTGAGTGAGAAATTGAGTGTGTGAGAAATTGAGAGTGTGTAAGTGAGTGAGAATGTGTGAGTGATTGAGAGTGTGTGAGCAAGTGATTGAGAGTGTGTGAGTGAGGAATTGAGAGTGTGTGAGTGAGAAATTGAAAGTGTGTGAGTGAGGAATTGAGAGTGTGTGAGAAATTGAGAGTGTGTAAGTGAGTGAGAATGTGTGAGTGATTGAGAGTGTGTGAGCGAGTGATTGAGAGTGTGTGAGCGAGTGATTGAGAGTGTGTGAGTGAGAAATTGAGAGTGTGCGAGTGAGGAATTGAGAGTGTGTGAGAAGTTGAGTGTGTGTGAGAAATTGAGGGTGTGAGAGTGAGTGAGAATGTGTGAGGAATTGAGAGTTTGTGACTGTTTAGTTTTAACTAATTGCTTATTTTTGTGTTCAGAATCCCTTTTTTTGTTTCCAGGAATCCAGGGTATAGGACGATAGAGGATGATTTGTTAAATGCCATGTTGCACGCTGACCTGGTGACAGAGGAAGGATGCACATGCCCACAACTGTTCAACTTCCAGCGGGCGGCTCGCACAGACAAGGGAGTTTCAGCAGCACGACAAGTAGTGTCAATTAAACTACGTAAGACTTTTGCTGATTAAAACTAGTTTGTAGATGTACTGATCAAGAAATCATTTAAAGGCCAGTATCTTACTTAGAGATTAGTCCAGCTTTATATAACTTATTTGATTTTCATTTTTTTTTTTTTTTTTTTTTTTTCCAATTTATGAGCTATACTTTTTCTCTTCTTTGCTTTTCTTATAGAAGCAAAAATATGCTTTTGGGTTGGCTGTATTTTTGGCTATTTGGATATTCGTTTTATCAGATAAAGAGCACTAACATGAACTGATAAAGAAACAGAAAGAAAGAGAAAACTATGTAGTGGAAGATAGTCATAGTACTTTATCATCAATGGTTGTAGTGACGAAACCCTATTTTTACATCCTTTACTTTCTTCCCTCCTTTTCTTTAGCTAATATGCTGTGATTTTATTTTAGCTGATCTTGTTTTTTGTCATAGTATTAACAGAGCATGTTCTTGCTTGATTGCTTTACCTTAGTTGGAGACAAAATTAAATGCATTGTTTGTATTTCTAATTTTTGTAGCCAAAAATATAGAGAGAAAAAACATATGATTATAGGGATATTGAATGTTAACATATTAATTGTAAAAATAAAGTGAATTATTTTTTAAGGCATTTTCCATTCAGGATTGATTATTCATCCTGCTGGCAGATCTTTATTCAAAAACTTTAACTCCAGTGTTTAGCTTTTTGACATTAAAGGTTAAAAATATATCCTAGGATTGTTGCAACCCCAATCTAGAAAAAACAAGCATTTATCCACAAGTTGTTTTCCTTCAAAAGAGACTTGAAAGTTGCATAACAGACAAGACAGTCAAAAAATTCAGGCCTCAGTCTTTACTTCAAGTTTCCCGTGAAAATGTAAGGCACCAATTCTGAATGGCGCTGCTTGATTCCTTCCAGCCGAGGATGTGCCCGACATGGTGGCGGAAATCAACAAGCACCTCAACAGCCAAATAAGGGTCATGGCCATCAAGCGCACAACCAAAAGCTTCAACTGCAAGGCATGGTGTGACTCGCGCACGTACTCCTACATGTGCCCCACTTTTGCCTTTGCTCCAGTCGAAAAGGTCGGTCCAAACGGCGTAACCTGTGTTTTGTTTGTGTATTTTATTTTAGATGAATAACATCTTGTTGCTTATCAATTAGTAATGCTGCTACAATTTTTTTTTTTTTTTTTTTTTACGTAATATGTGTCGGTACCAGTGGGCCAAGTTAATGGGTAGATCAGTATGGGCACCTGGAAAAGTTCATTTTGGGCATTGTGTATATATAATGCTTTTTATATTCCATAAGGTATTATTATGAAAGAGTATAATAACTTTTTACTTTTTATTTTACTTCTATTATGAAGCTTACATTTCATGCATAACTTTAAGATTGTATGTTCAAATAAATCTAATATCATTGTTTTTTTCTTACTATGCTTCTTTTTTCTTTTCTTTTTAACAACTTACATGTTAGACACATGCCACTAGGGGAAATTAATAAAAAATGAGGAAAATACTGTGCTCTGCTAGTGCTTAGCCACATTAGTAGACCTTGTGACCTTACCTAATTTCACCTTTTCTTGAATAGGCAAGAAAAACATATTTTTTACTAATGCTATGAATATTGATACTGTTATTTTTATCATAGAAAGTGTAAGTACTATATTGTTATATACATTATTAACAGCAATATAAGATAACATAAAATATTTTTGTAAATCAAGGAAAAGTACTCATAATTGGCTCATTGGTGACTTAGTACAAATGTAGCCATCTATATGTAAAAACAATTGAAAAAGTAAACTCACAGTAGGCATGGCATGTATATATATGCTATGCCTGTCAGCATCGGGTTAAAGTATACTTCCAGTGGAAATGTAATAATTGTGATCTGGTTCTGTGTCATGAACTTCCTCACAAGGGCTAGGATGGTGGCTTTTTTTCAAAGGACTTTTGGTTCTGGCAGGTGGAGACCATTGCCCTGAGGGGATGCCCTTCCTTTCATAATTTCAGAGCCTTGGGACAGGAGTCAAACAGTGACAGACCCTCGTGGTTTCCAGCTGCGCATGTTATGGCTGTATCTCAGCAGCCACCTAGAAGTGCATTATCTGTTATTTTATATTTCCGATTATTGCAGATGACAGATGCAGACTACAGGATCTCCTCGGAAGTTATGGAGGAACTAAGAAGTACCTTGAAAATATACAAAGGGACTCATAACTTCCACAACTTTACAGCACGAAAGTAAGTTACGTGATTTATCTATAATTATGATTAATACCATTGTCATTACTACAATTATTATTATTATTATCAATGATATTAATATCATTGAAACTATAATCATCATCATCATTATCATTTTCATTAGCATTTTTGTTGTATTTTATTTTTCTTTATACTAATGTTATTATTTTTGTTATTAATGTTGTGGTTATTGTTTTTATTATTTTTGATATTGTTATTACTATTCTTACTACTGCTACCATTGTTATTGTTATTGTTAACATAATTATCACAGCTATTTATTATATAGTTTCAAAGAGATCTAATTCTATCTCACGTTGTTTTACTTTGGATCCGCATTTATCAAGATTTGATCATCAGAGTTCACAGGAGTATCTTTTCTGCAGAAAGGCCAGCGATGCCAGTGCCAATCGCTACATCATGGAGGTGGAGTGCAGCGACCCCTTTGAACGAGAAGGCCTGGAGTGGATCGTTATCAAGATCAAAGGTAAACGATCGTTAATATTGTCAAGGTTATCAAGGTTATTCTTTTTGGGTTGAGAGTTTTCGTAATGACTATGTCATGCCATTTTAGTTTGCTGTTCTGATATGAATACATGTGTTTTTGAATAGTTGTAATTGTTTCATATATATGGGCACACTAGCACTCACATGCTCATTCATAGTTTTTAGATGCTCACTGACACTTATATATGGATGTTCGGATACACATCCATACATATATTTACACATTACACAGATGCACACCATAGGCACATGCAAGCATATACATACATGTAGACAAGTGTGCATGTGCAAAAACGACAATTAGATAAGAAAACATGCATACCAGACACACTCTCCCTCTCTCCTTCTCTCCCTGCCTCTCTCCCTCCCTCTCTCCCTCTCTCTCTCCCTCTCTCTCTCCCTCTCTCTCTCTCTCCCTCTACCCCCCTCCCTCCCTCCCTTCCTTCTTCCCCCTCCCCCTACAGACTTAAGTTCTTAATTTCTCCCATACATTATATACGTTTCTAGGCCAAAGCTTCATGCTGCACCAGATTCGCAAAATGATCGGGCTGGTAATGGCCATCTGCCGAGGGCTGGCCAGCAAAGACGTGATCACAAAGGCTTGGATGAAGGACCGCGTGGACCTGCCCATTGCCCCGGGCCTGGGTCTCGTGCTGGAGGAACCCCACTACGACAAGTACAATAAGAAATATGGATCGGATGGGATTCATGTGGTGGGTGTTACAAGTGTGATATTGTAGATGTGAATCTCAGAGTGATATATGGTGATTGATTTAATTATTGGTATTTGATATGTTTGTACCTATTCTTTGAACCCTCCTGTTTTATCATTATTATTATTATTGTTTTGTTTTTTCAGCCTCTGGATTGGAGTGAGGTGTCGGAAAAGATCCAAGAATTCAGGGAGAAGTTCATTGATTCCACTATTGTAGCCACAGAGATAGAGGAGCAGTCGATGTTGAAATGGCTGGCAACTCTTCCATTTCACACATATGATGTTCGAGAAGTTCCTACTGACGGAGAACCAGTTCAACATATGTCAGGGGTAAGACCTGCAGAAAAAAAACTTATGGTTATTTTGTAGTGCTTTATTAGTTGTTCCTATGTTTGATAGTTCTAAACCTTTCTTGCCAGCATGTGGAAATATCCCATCCCCTTTGTATTTATTGCAGGTGCGATCAGCGATAGGCCGGGCAGCTGTCAAATTAGCAAACTACAGAGCTGATGATGATGGCAGAGGAAGCGAGGATGAAGCAGAAGACGAGGATGAAGGGGATTTAGACCAATATAGGGTGAAACCTACCTCAGTACCTGCAGAGGCTGGAGAAGCCAGTAATGGTCAGGACTGTAACAGTGCTGAGAATGGCATAAGCAACAATGGTACTGAAGATGGTATACAGGAAGAAAAGGGTAAAGATGATAAAGACAACAAAGAAGTGTGATTGTAGGGAATGAAATAAACTATCTTGCCTCAGTGATGTGACAGTATATCTCTTCACTCGGAAAAAAAAAAAATATGTGATTAAAGTGTAGCAACCATTTTGAAAAGTCATCTAGTGCCATTAGTGTTCCATACATATTATTTGTCATTGATTGTGGAGTAAAAGCATACATACCATAATAATCAGTGTCAAGCCAGTCAGTCATATGTGTTTCCAGCCATGCAACATTACTCATAGACAGGTGATCATTATTGATGAATTGTTATTTTTGTACATATTTGTACCCCCCCCCCCCCCTCCCAGTTCTTGAAATCCAAGAATGCTCATATTCTCAGAGAGATATACTTGTGTAGAAATTTCCAATTTTAAATGTTAGTGTAAAATACAGTTTATCCTATAACATTGTTAACTGGTATTTAATAGGTTTATGCTGTTTGTTATTTTATACGTGTACAGCTGAGTGTAAGTAGAGGCTTCAGTAATAAACAAGTTTTAGAGTTATTATTGTTTACCATCAATAGCAGAAATCACACCATCCTGACCTAAAGTAGAACTAGCACCCTAAAATCTACCAAAATTTCCGAACTGTATAATGAGATAAAAGGTTTTAGTATCATTATTTATGTGACAGTCATATATATAAATATAAAGAAGACCAAGTTTTATTGAAATGGACAGATGTAGTAAGTATCTATGTAAAAGAAAAATGGATTTAAAATAGTTTTGAAGTAAAATTCGTTTCATACAACAAGATAGTGGTTTGGAGAGTGCATTTTATTTCTTGACATAAAAGACATATACAGCATGATAAAAATTAATAAAAGTAAAAAAAAATATATTTAGGATGATACAAGGAGGGACAGTAGGGAAAGGCAAATAGAAGACACAGTAAGGAAGGAATTAGTGAAAAAGTGAATACTGGAAGAATATGAAAGATAAGAACAGATATTGAGCAACATAGGTCTCTCTCTCTCTCTCTTTCACACACACACACACACACTTATATACACACATATTTGTACATATATGTATATTATATTTATATATACACATATATTTGTATATATATGTATTATATATATATATATATATATATATATATATATATATATATATATATATATATATATATATATGTGTGTGTGTGTGTGTGTGTGTGTGTGTGTATATATACATATATATATATACACACATATATAAATATGTATAATATACTATATAAATATACATATATATATATATATATATATATATATATATATATATATATATATATATATATATATATATACAGTAACTCCCCAACTTACGAACATAATGGGGACCGAGAGGCTGTTCGTAAGTCGATTTGGCTGTATGTCGAAAATTGGGTCTCCATTGCCTTTTTTCCCATAGTTTTAGTTTTGTTTACATTAAGAATACCTGTAAATAAATCCCAATAAGTAGACATACCTTATACAGTACCTGTAATATGTAATGCTTTTAATATTAGTTGATGGTGATTCATACAACTTTAATGTAGAAACATAATTTATTCAAAAAGAAAATATATTGTAGTGGTGACTGGCAAATAAAAAACTCTTCGCTCTGGCAAACAATGGCAGTGCACCGACTTTGAGGGGGTGAGTTCCGTACATCAGGCCGAATCACTGGCTCGCTCGTGCGGTTTCTTTTCACACCTAGCGCGTCACCCGTCGTGAAAAGGTTAATATTATTTGGTGATTTATACAACTTTAATGTAGAAACATAATTTATTAAAAAAGAAAACATATTGTAGTGGTGACTGGCTGGGGAACCGATTAATAAGCCTGACATTTCTTGGCAATTCCACTGGCTTCACCGTCTATCTTTCTCTTCGCACCCGACATATTTGATGGATTGATGCACAGGTAAAGCGAATTATGGAACAAAAAATGTCGGTAAGAGGACATAGTGAAGAGATGCTTTCGTGTTTATGGCGGGAGGGCAGAGAGTGATACGAACAGCTGAGTGAGCGCGGCGACGCTGCGGCGTGGCAGACTCGTGAACTATATTCGCGCCCGGGAAATTTGAAGTTTGCTAGCATCTTTCAAACAATTTTTTTGACTTTTGGACTAAAAATTTTGTTCGTATGTATGGAATGAACGTAAGTCGAATGTTCTTAAGTAGGGGACTATCTGTATATATATATATATATATATATATATATATATATGTATATTATCAGACATATATAGATATTTCTTTTACTGTAGCTTTGTCCCACCTTATATGGGGTCGCTATGATAGGTTCTGGCAGATATTTTTTATGACCGGATGCCCTTCCCGACCCCAAACCTCTCTTTTTACCCGGGCTTTGGACCGGCACTGACTAGGGGTGGTTAGACCACCCAATACTGTATATATATATATATATATATATATATATATATATATATATATATATATATAAATATACAAATATATATACATATACATGTATATATTATATATACATATATATAGATATATATGTATATATATTATGTATGTATATAAATATATAAATATATATATATATATATATATATATATATATATATATACATATATATATATACGTATATATATATATATATATATATATATATATATATATATATATATATATATATATATATATATATGTACATATATATATATATATATATATATATATATATATATATATATATATATATTTATTTATTTATTTATGTATGTATACGTTTTTGTGTTTAAGTATGTATATGTATGTATGTATGTGTGTGTACATATACAGATATACGTGTATGTTTATCTTTTCTGTAACTCAATCCTTCGTTATACATTTTATGAAATTTGCCACACTACAATATAAGTCTATCTATCTTTCCATCTATCTGTCTATCAATATATATATATATATATATATATATATATATATATATATATATATATATATATATATATATGTATATAATATATATATATATATATATATATATATATATATATATATATATATATATGTATATATATATATATATATATATATATATATATATATATATATATATATATATATATATGTATATATATATATATATATATATATATATATATATATATATATATATATATATATATATATATATATATATATATATATATATATTTAATTATAAGTTGCAAAGGGAATACCCTCATTTTGTATCTTAACATATTTGATTCATAAAGAGAAAGGTAATGTGAAAGATCGATTGCATTTCGCAAGATAAAAGATAACTATAAGAACCACTTGATAAAATACTTATCGCGGAACGAATGACTCAAGCTGTTTCGGTGTGTGACGTAACAGGAAGAAATCATTAGCTATATCCGACTGGCGATAAAGATAAAGCGTTTAATTAATGTACTTATCTATTCATTTATTGATTTATTTGTATTGTTTTTATATTGCGAAAGTAAAGGAGGGAGGGCGGGAAGACAGCATAACGGGAGTTCTGTTACTCAGACGGAAAGGGGGAAAAAATAGGTACATTTTAGAAAGGATATGGGGAGAAAGCTGAATTAGAGGGACCATTGCGATAAATTTCAGTTTTTTTTTTCCATTGTTGTTGTTTTATATATCTTGCAACGCAGCACGTTCCTATCATGAGTGTTTTTCCCCTCTGTCTGCTGATGTTGTTGTTGTTGTTATTGTTATTCATATCTTCATTAATGTTATTATTTTTATTATTGTTAGTATCATCACCATCATCATCACTATTCTTATTATTATTACAATTTTTGTCACTGATATTATTATCAGTATTATTGTCATTATTATCATGATTATTAAAAATCATAATCATTATTAATAGGATTATTATCGTTATCATCATCATCCTTATTATTACTATTGTTATTATTATTTTCTTTATGATAATAATGATAACTCTTATCATTATCAAATTATCATTTATTTATCTATTTATTATTGTTATTAATGCTACTACTACTATTACTACTACTACTACTACTACTACTACTACTGCTATTATCATTATTATCAT